GTACTTCCACGCTCGTGGGTCATGTTTGAGAAATTCTTCCAGGAAAAGAAATCCCAAAGGATAATAAAAAAAAAGTCATTGCTGGCCTTCAATGATTCATTGCCAGAGGGAATAAAGCTCCAAACAGTTGATGACATTCATGTCATGCTCCAGTTTTTCCACGACCTCAAAGAAATTTTATACTTCAACCAAAACTTACTCGGTAATGTAATTATTGTTGATGTTCAGTGGTTTGCAGATGCGTTTAAAAATGTCATAACAGACAAAAACCACGCAGAAGAGGATTTATTTGAGTTTGCTTCAGACTGGGATAAATTTGATGAAACTGGAGAACTGAACGACACTTTGTTGTCAGCTATTTGGAAAATGAACAACAACGGATACCTTGAACAGAAGGAGGATATCATGTTATACATGGAGAAGCTAGGGTTATTAGCTAAAATGGATAACACAAAATGGTATGTTCCATGTATGAACAAAAAACAATTTCCCAAAAATCGATTCACTTCATATCCATCGTCATCCATTCTGTGTTACGCATTCAATGTACTTCCGGCAGGAATATACCAGCGCCTCATAGCAAGTTGTTTGCAAATCCCCTGGAAACCTGCTTCATCCAGAGATGGGCCATTTATTTACCAGACGGCAGCAGTTTTTCTATTTGAGAAACATAACATTCTGCTTGGAATGACTCCAACAGAAATTCAGTTACAGGTGTTTAATACGGAGGGAGAAGTTGATGTGTCAACATGCCTAGCGGTCAAAAAAGAAATTGACAATATGCTGAGTATCCTTTCCAGAACATTCCAAGCAGACTTCAAATTTCAGCTAGCGTTCAAGTGCAAAGCTTCGGGATTTGTTGATGGCCAAGAAAGTAGTGTGATTAATGAGGATGAGTTTTCAGGGTCAGGTTTCCAGTGTCTTTCCTGCCCAGAAGAGAAAATGCATTTTATTAACACAGAAGACATTATTAAATATTGGAAAGAGGCAAGATTAGATCTTTACTAGAGATGATTTATTAAATAATGATTTCTTAAATAAAAGCACTTTTGTCAAGAAAATATTTGATATATCCAGTGTCCACATTTTTTTAGGATCAGACGAACTTTATTTAGAGAAATATATCTTGTCTTTCTTTAATACCTGTACATATACAGAGCCATATGATAAACAGACTAAAATATTAATTAAAGACCTCAGTTGATCATTGACCATATAATGACATGTTTAACTTGTTCATTTTAAATTCAGTAGCAACAAAAGCTACAACAAAAAAAAAAAATCCGCGTATCTAGAATTCATATTTTTTTTTAGTATGTTTGTTTCATTTTGTTTTTAAACGGATTTCTAAATAATGTGCAAAATACTTAAAAGATACCATTTCATTCATCTATTTTAAATACACAATGAAAATTGTTACTTAAAATATTCTTCATTTCTAAAACAGGAATGCCAACTTGAGGGCAAAGGTCATGAAGAAACAGGTTCTAATCCATGTACGCAAATTTATATTCTAGCTACATCATTTAAAACTAAATCGTAATATACCTTCACATGAGCTTAAAATATCATGATGTTAGTTTGGACAGTATGGTGGATCAAAGAGTCAAGCAAATTTATTTTTTACTTTAAATTTAATTTATGTACTGTGCAGTTGTGTAATAATGTTTATGATGGGATAAAAAAAAATAATGATAAAATGTATGCCATTAAGAATATGTTGCGCTCATAGCATTATATTATATTTCAGCTCTAGAACAGATTCTAAATGCTGTTTCAAGAAAAATCCAAGGCATAGGAATCAGTCTTTTGGAGGGTCTGTTTGAAGTCAATTTGGATGTTTCCCCCACACTCAGCTTTGAGGAGAAAGTATTTAGAATTTTGTACCAATGGAAATCCAAGAATGCACACCTTGATCACTTGAGGGAATTAGAGAAAATTCTACAGAGAGAAGGCCAAGGACAAGCTGCGGAATACATGAGAACATTTGATATCACAGACGTGGATTGCAGTGATGTGGCTAGTCCTGATCAGACCGTTTCATCAGCAGAATTCAAACTTCTATCTGAATATCTCCCAAAAGACTTTCCTCATTTTGTTCGGTTTTTAGGGCTTCCTCAAAGATATATCGAACAAATGGAAGCAGATGGTTTGAAGATACAGGATAAAATATATAAATCACTTACAATGATACAGGAGAAATGCCATTGCATGCTTAACCGAAAGAGGATTTGCAATGCATTGACATTTATAGAAAGAAATGATGTGATAGTTGAACTTGGATGGATATCACGCAAACGAAAAAGGGATGATTGATGTGGAAACCAAAAGTGTATTATTGATTTTTAAAGATGTGCTTGTTACAATCTTTTCATTGAAAATGTAAATGGACTAAACATTCATTTAATAAGTCGGTAATATTTTATTTGTTCCTTAAAAATCAATTGTCCATATTTGAGAAATGTTTCAAACTTACTATTATCTGGAGTAGAATTCATTTCTCGTGCAGACAACGTTTGTAATTTTATAATTTTTGTTGTATTTTGAATTGTTTCCATGATTAGTGCATGAAATATGAAAGCATGTGAAATAGTTAAAAAATAATATGATAATAATATGTGTACAGCAAAACTCGTTTAGAACGAACACGGATATAGCGAATTTACGGATATAGCGAAGTCATCTTGGATCCCCAGCTTTATGAATTTAATGAATTCCTTATATAGTTACAACGAATTACGGATATAGCGAAGTAATTTCATAGGTCCCTGTGACTTTGTTATAACCGAGTGTTACTGTATTCATTTGTTACTGCAAATTTAGTTACTTAGTAATATTTTTTAAAAATCAGATACTTTTAATCCTCATAACCTTTGCTTCAATAGGAATTGTAATTACATGTAACACATTCATTTTTGTACGTTATCTAACAAAAATGATCATGTTTCGTCATAAGAAAATTAACGTATATTTACCTGGTTTTTGTTTGTTTGATTACGCCGGAACATTCAATTTTTTGTGGGATTTAGTGCATAAAGTGTATATAGGATCTCTTATGATTTATAGTTGGATTTGATTTTTTTTTATCAAATTGTGTGTTTTAGCTCACCTGAGCCGAAGGCTCAATTGAGCTTCTCTTATTACATTTTGTCCGTCAACCGTCCGTCTGTAAACTTTTACATTTCGACTTCTTCTCAAGAACTACAGAGCCAATTTTAATAAAACTTTGTACAAAGCATCCTTAGGTAAAGGGAAATTGAAATTACTGTAGAAGTACATTTTTCCGCTTGGTAACATTTTTACACTATGTACGCGGTCACAAATTTTCCACTGATATTCGACCAATTGTACTTAATATAAATGTAAGGCATTTAATGTTAGACTGAGAAATCTGTGAAATTTTCCACCCGCGGATTAAACAGAAATTGAGATTCCGCAAAATTATGACCCTGTGGAAAAAAATACGTCTACAGTATTAAAATGATGGGCCAGGTCCTCTCACTAGGGGAGATAATTTAGAAGAGACAAAAATAGGGTTGGGTCATTAAAAAATCTCAAGAACCAGTGGACCAGAAAAACTGAATCCTATGTAAAGACATCCTGGGGTAGTGTAGATTCTACATTGTTCAAATCATGACCCTTTGAGGTTAGGCGGGGCCACAATAGAGAATCAAAGTTTTACATAGAAATATATAGGGAAAATCTTCTTGTCAAGAACCACTGTGCCAGAAAAGCTGAAACTTATGTCGTTCAAATTATGACCCCTGGGGGTTAGGCGGTTCCGAAATTTCCTTTTTTAGGTCACCTGAGTAAACTCAGGAGACCTATTGCTATCTGTTTTCGTCCGTAGTCGTGCGTCGTCCGTCGTGCGTCGTGTGTTTACATTTGAACATTTTCAGTTTCTACTCTGCAACCACTGAACCAATTTCAACCAAATTTGGCACAAAGCATCTATGGGTGAAGGGGAACAAAAATTGTGAATTTCATGATCCCTGCCCCCCTGGGGCCTGAGAGGTGGGGCCAAAACCACGAAAATTAATGCAATCTTTAAAAATCTTCTTTTTTACTCCTGGACATTAAGCAGACAAACTGTTTGCATGATTGTAATTAGCATTGAGTCCTCTACCATAATTGTGAAATTCATGGCCCTGGGGTCAGGGGTTCTAGTGCTAGGGCGGGGCTAAATAAGTATATAGAGAAAATGCATTATTTCTTTGAAAATCTTCTTCTCTGCTCCCGGGTATTAAATAAACCAACTAAGTACATAGTTATGATGAGCAAGAGTGCCTCTATAAAAATTGTGAATTTTATGGCCCAAGGGTCAGGGGTTCTGGTGTTATGGTTGGGCTCTATTGATTATATATAGTGAAAATACATGATTTCTTTGAAAATCTTCTTCTCTGCCCCTGGGTATTATATAAACTAACTAAGTGCATAGTTATGATGAACAAGAGTGCCTCTACCAAAATTGTGAATTTTAATGCCCCAGGGTCAAGGGTTCTGGTTTTAGGGAGGGTGGGTCTATATTGATTATATAGTGAAATACATGAATTCTTTGAAAATCTTTTCTCTGCTCCTATGCATTTAATAAACTAACTAAGTGCATAGTTGTGACGAGCAAGAATTCCTTATCTAAAATTATGAATTTTAGGGCCCCAGGGTCAGGTGTTCTGGTGTTAGGGCAGGGCTCTATTGATTATATAGTGAAAATACATTAAATCTTTGAAAATTTTCTTCTCTGTCTCTGGGTATGAAGCAGATGAACTACCTATAAAGTTATGATGAGCAAAAGCCCTAATCATGCAGAATTTTGAATTTCAAGGCCCCAGGGTCAGGGGTGGGAGGGACTCTACTTATATACTGAAAATGAATTAATTTTTGAAATCTGCGCCTTTGTATTTATAAACATTTATTTATTTTTTTGATAGGCAATTTTAAGGGTGCCTTTTTAAAATTCGTGCAATGTGAGGACCTAGGGTCAGGGGTTTATGTCACAGTGTTAGGGGCACTACTGATTATTGCTGAATATTACTGATTAGTTGGAGTGCATTTTTGTTCCCCTACCCTGCGTATGGGTATTCAGTAAACAAGCTAAGCAACTGCTAAGTGTATTGTTATGATGATCAATGGTGGCTCTTTCAAAATTGTGAATGCCATATGGCATCTGGATTAAAACATGAATCAAATTCAACAACTGGAAAGCGTTGTTGCATTATGCTCAGGTGACCTATAAGGCCCGTGGGCCTCTTGTTTTAATAAAACCATGTTTATTTGACTCTCCGTCCTCCTGTAATTACAAGTACCAATAAATTCACGTCATCTTATCCATGATAAGTAATTTTTATCTTATAGACTTATTTGAGGATATAAAAGAAAATATTAATTTCAATTGTTAAGATCTTATATCATTGAATAACAGATAAGACCCTATCATCATGAATGTTAAAACGATAATTAACGTCATTGGCAAGGCAAGTTTTTGTTTGTTTGAGTACAACTTCGGATTTTAATTGGTAGCGAAAAATTTTATATAGTGAAGTTATACTAAGTGATTTCAAATTGTTTGTATTTATTTCACCTGGAAATCGGACACATTCTCCACAAGGTAAAGAAGTGTTACATTGTAAAAAATGGATTACAATCTTTTCGAATTCCATTCTTGAGAACCACTTGCTTCATATCTAAAAGCTTTCCATTACCGCTAACTCAGGTTGTAAACATATCAAACCAAGGCACTCTTTACAATGCAGCGGTATTACGATGTAATCAATATTTTTAGTGAGAATTTAAGGAAATATTTCTCAAGACTTTCCTTTCGACAACCATCGACTTTCCTTTCGACAACCACCGGCAAGGAAGGATTTAACTCTGTAAAAATAGTAGCTTTGGGATAATTTTCGGGTATTGCGACAAAGATTTTACATAGGATATCACAAACACACAATCATAAACATAGACAACCTTGTAATAGATGTTAGAAATATTGTATATTGTCAATTCATGGTCCCTCATGTAAAACAGAACTGAAGTTTAAAATAAAATAAACCTATCAAAAATTCTGAAATATCTGTTGTCAGGAATTCTGCGATGGTGCAAAGTCGATAATCGGTAAGATTTTTTACTAAATGGTTTTACATGTAATGACTCCAGGCAAAAAGCTGTTCTGATTGCAGTTATGTCTTATACTCAAATTATAATTCAAATTTTCAATGATTCGATTTTAAATCATGAAAACATGAAATACTTACTTCATGAACTGAATACTTGTTTCATATATATGAAGCTATTATGTATTCTGCATGCCTTGTTAACAATCTTTCTATTATATTTTTGTATGGGCTACAAGTATACGGAAAATTGTTGAATATGTACTAAAAAGATACTGATCATTTGAATCATTGAGTATGAATTTTTTCTTTAGATATCATGTATAATACAGTATTAGGGTCATTTACAGTAAAACTCGTTTAGTGCGAACACTGATAAAGCGAATTCACGGACAAAGCGAAATTTTTCTGGGTCCCTAGCAAAATTTTTAACAAATCTTAATTAAAATTTACAATTATAACGAACTCCCATATAAGGAATTTACCGATATACCGAACTAATTTAGAATCCCGTTGAGGTTAAATATAACAAAATTTATATCTTTTTGATGAACTTTAAAAGATTATAAAAATGGATAAATTGAACTGACTTTATTTCCCTTTAGCATTTGTATATAAAATACACTTCATAATTAAACCTTAGTTATCGAAGATACATGTATGTTTTGTAATATTTGCTTCCCTAACAAATTAAGTAGTAATACTTGAAAGGAAACATACATATTGCGAATTCGCTATAATGCTTGTACGAATGCGTTATATGGTTATAACGAATAACGGATAAAGCAAATTAAATTCACAGGTCCTAAGGACTTCGCTATAACCGAGTTTTACTGTATAAGGTTACTTTGTTTTTTTATCAATAAATAAGATAAATTTTCACTCATCGTATTTTCCAATTTGCTCTTCGTAATGAGAGCTATAGGTTTTTAGTTCTTCTGAGTCAAATGCTCAAAGAGCTAATACTCTGGCCATTTGTGCTGTGTGCGTAAATTTTTTGAATATGGGCCATAACTCAAGAACCCCTTGGCCAATCAGTGTCAAATTTGTCACAGGGTATCCTTGGCCCAAGGGCTACCATTTGTAATAAATAAAGGTTGGGACCTTTAAACAAGGGGAGATAATCAGGAAAACAAAACCAAAATTACTGGTTGCTGAAAAATCTTCTTCTCCAGATCCACAGGGCAGATTTATACCAAACTTACAAACTTGCTAGCTGATGCATCTTAGGACTACACATCATGTTAACTCAAAAGTAGGTCACGTTGACCTATTTTTAGGTCACCTGAGTAAACTCAGGTGATCTATTGCTATCCGTTTTTGTCCGTCGTCGTCCGTCGTCTGTCGTCCGTCGTGCGTTAACATTTAAACATTTTCAGCTTCTTCTCTGAAACCACTGAACCAATTTCAACCAAATTTGGCATATAGCATTTATGGGTGAAGGGGAACAAAAATTGTGAATTTCGTGGTCCCCGCCCCCCTGGGGCCTGGGGGGTGGGGCAAAAACCAC